ATAATATATATTGATTCAAGATCTGTATAACTTCTTATAAAGCTATTATACAAGAAACAAGAATACTTTGTCAAAAGGATGTAGAGAGGAGTTTGCGCTTGATTATCTACTCTACATAAAGTGCAAACTACTTTTCTTTGAATGATCAAAACTATGTAATAACTAATTAGACATGATAATTGGGAATTACTATCTAAAAGGACTTGTTTATATCTAATTTTAATAACTACAATATATGTTGCTTTTATACAAATTCAAGATATAATTTATCAGCTATACGAATTCATGTTTATTATATCACTTAAATTCTATTGGTCTAATATTCATTCATTCATTCATTCACTCATTCATTTAGTTATTTATTTGTTCGTTCGCTTGTTCGCTTGTTCACTTCACATGAATTGATCTTTATTCAATAAAATATAAAATATGTATAATCCAATAATATGAAATGTTATGACAAAAGATCATTATACAATAATATATAAGAAATTATAACAAATTAATATAAAACTTAAAATTTAAATAATGAAATAATAAAAGGAATATTTAATATTCTAATTGTATTAATTTCAAAAGAATATTATTATCAAAGGAATTTATTTTTGAGTTATTAATATTGGAGGTAAGTTAACAGAAATTAAGCAAATTATATATATAATACATATATAATTTACTTGATTTCTGTTAATTCATTTTCATTTTATGAAAACTTAACTGATTTTTTTAAGCTAAAATACATGCTTTTTTTATAAAAAAATTATTAAATTAAAATTATTAATGATATTTACAAGAAAATTGCTTATTTGCTATCATAATTAGGCTTCTGGTAGGTATTATTGTAATATAGATGTTCAACCAATATCTGATAATGGAAATTTTACAGTTACTCAATCTCATCATAATAAATATACTTCAGGATCATTACACAGTGCATTTTCTTCTATCTCATAAATAGACTCTCACTATTACTAATAAATATTATGTCTACTTAGTGTGGGACAGTCCTATAGCAATATAGTACTGATATTTTATAGCAACTTTGACAGTTGTCCAATAGTGCGCAACAAATACAAATATTTTAATAAGTTATTATTCAATCAATTAAATATACAAATTTCATTAACAATAAACAAGAAACAGTTTATTTATTAGCTAAATTTTTGTATTGATCAATTGATACCTTTTTCAAAGCTTTAATTGCACTTTATTTATAATAAATATTTTTCACTAATAAATATTACATTTATAATTAATTATATAAGTTGATAAATAATAAATACTATATAAGTTGTGATAATTACAGTAATTGTTGTAAATGATGATAATTACAGTAATTGTTGTAAATGATGATAATTACTGTAATTGTAATAATTATCAAAATTATAAAAGTTATGGAAATTATGAAAATTTCCAATCGTAATATCGCTTACTTGATTACTCACTTATTCACTTATTTTGTGATCTAATATAAATATAAATCAATTAATATAATATAAATAAATGATCTATATAATATTTGTAAATAATAATATAAATAATATAATACAAGATGTAAATATGAAGATTTTAACTAATTAAAATATAAATATATGTTCTCAAAATTATCCAATAAGATCAAATATAATTTTGATTAATAATTAATGTGAAATTTCATTATACAACAATATTAAGAGATATAATTTAATATTAAAAGTATCATATATAAGAATCTTGTTAAAATATTGTTCCTTATAAGCATAATAATATGAAAATAATATAAAGAAAATGCAAAGATAATGTTAGAAAGAAAGCAAAATTATATTTAATATAATTAACATTCAAATGATGTTTTTTATATTTACAAAGAAGACAACAAAAACATATATTATATACTATATGTATAATTTTGATTGGTTATGTTTGTTTGGGGCTAAAAGTATCGATGCGTTCGAGAATTATGATTGACCAATCAAGTTTTTAGATCAAAATTTACGTTATGGTGATCAAATGTGGCTGGTATATGGCTAAACGGCTTGTCTTGCTTTAGCGATCCACTATTTTGGGAATTTGATTTGTTTATCCCCGCACATTTAAGTATACGCCTTTAACGTTTGTTATGTATAGTGGTAGGTAATTTTTGACTCGAAAAGAAATTTAGATTCATGTACATTTTATTTTCCCTTGATCCATTGTTAAATATTATTATTACAAAACAATAAAAACGAAAATCAGCACATCTATCAAACCATTATCTTTCACCTATAATAAAAAGGAGAATGAAATAAATAAATAGCATAATAGAACGGGGCGCAATCTCAAAAACATATATCTACAAATAGGAAAAGCCATACAACTCTATTTCTTCTCATACTAATCAATTCTTGTTTCTTTTGCTTTTTCAATAATCCTCATTGTCAACACACAGACGAAATACACGCATTATCATCATCAAAAAGGGTCGCTCTAATATATTCTAACCTGTAGAATTTCGTTTATTTATCTCGCTATTTGTGATAATAAAAAACAAATCAACAAAATAAACAACAGAGAGCTGACTCGGAATAATCAACTCTTAATTTAGTTACATTAATTAATTGATTGATCGATAATCTATCGCTTAGATAAGGCAGGAGGATTTTTAATCCAATTTGCCACTTTACTGCCCATTTTTTCACTATGCCCTAAAAAAAACAAAAACAGTTAAAAAATATTTTCAATCCACCACTAAACCAATCGTAAAACAATAACTCACCCATAACAAAAGCATGCGTCATTCCATCTTCACAAAGAAAAACATTTCCCTCTGGAAACCGTTCCATCAAATTACGATAATGATCCAATGGGGCCCACTTATCCTCCTGCCCAAAATAAAAGACATATTTTGGTAAGTGCTCACGATAGAATTGTTCGTCGAGTTCTTGGACCTCTTGCATTTCGGTCTCGGCCATACGCAGAGTATTTTTGACGATGCTGCCGTAGAGAAGTTTGTCGGCCGTTACAGAGAGGGTGGGTTCTTGTTGCCAGGTGATTAAACCGATTAGGTATTTGAAGTTTCCGGGCGTGAAAAGGGAGCGAAGGTGTTGGATAAATGGTCCGGCAAGGTTTCGGGATCGTTCGTAGAAGAGGAACTAAGGGTTTTAATTTGGCGTGAGTTTAGTTTATTTTTTCATTTTGTAAAAAAAACTGGTTTATTTACTTGAAGCATTCTCCCATTTGGTGTCTGAGCAATATTCTGAATAGTCGGAAACAATGCATAAACTTTTTCAATTCCATGACTCGGACGTGCTCTCAAAACCTAAAAAAAATCACAAAAATCACTAAAGTCCACTATTTTTTACAATTGATTTATTTTAGATTTTTACCTCTGAACAAATATACGCTCCAATAGAATGTCCACACAAAATAAACTTGCTAGACGACGAAAACTTTTCGCGTAATTTGTCGAAACATTTGATCTTATGTTCTATTTGATCTCGAAGCGTGTAAAGTTTCGAGTCGGTGTTTGCATTGTTTAAGAGAGAATGTGAGTGACCAAGATGCGAAACTATACAAATATTATAAAAGTTTTAAAATTAGAACAATTTCTCTTCCTAATATAATTGTTCAAAAAACCTGAAGATATCGAAACCATAACAAACTTACCACCAACAATCACAATATCTCCACGCCGAAACTTATCATAAATCGTGGTCAAAAACGGGATGTAGTAATCGATAATTCCGGGATTTCCACAAATCATGAAGAACACTATTTTCTCATGATTCATACTATCAATGTCTCCAACTTCTTTATTATAATCGTCATACCACCAAAGAGCATCTGTCAATTCGCCTTCAACGTCCCATATCTTTCGTTCTGGTAGTTGTTCAGCGGTTATTGTTGTGTCTTCCTCGTCATTACTATTAATCATTTTATCATCAATATTATTGCTATTATTTATTTTGTTGGATGTTTCTTGTACCATTTTTTTGTAAACAAAAGACAAAAAACGAGATTAATTAAAGAACTCGTATATGTAACAAAAAATGGTAGTTTCACGTGCTTTGCACACACATGCAGCAAACCATATTACCTTGCCCCAAAAGTATGGGGAGACAGGTTTTTTCAATTTTATTAGAAGTTGGTATGCATATTCTTTATTATGTGTATAGGTTAACCTCCTTTGAAACATATGGAAATATCTTCGAAACATGGTCGAGAACAAGATTCTTTAAATAGAATACAACAAAAAATCATGATAGCATCATAATGATAACGAGATAAAAATACAAGTCCAACAACTTGAGCATTAATGGCGCCAATGCTGGTGGAATAACATTATTAATATTACTTGTGACATTGCGAGATTGAAGGCCTATTATTCAGCAGCTGGTAATTTTGAACCCTAATTAATACAACAAGGATATATAATATAATTTTTATAACTCATCCTGAAGTACTTAAAATAATTCTTAACAACGAAGCAAATTAATTAATTTTCTATCTTGTATTTATTCTCGGGAGATCTAATCACTGAAAAATAGTGGGTTCATTTGAATTTTTTGTCCTGTTATTATTACATTTATTCGTCTACCGTTTTGCCCGCCTAATTTTCTTTTAGTAAAACCAGTTATTTATCCGCAAAATAAAATTAAAAATTTTAATTACTAAATTAATAGCCTTGTGGTTAAATTAAGGTTTAAATTTTCTACAGAGGGAGGTGGTCTTCATTTTTGTCTATCTTTTATATGCATCGCATTTTGAACAGCGAATCTAATAGCATCTGCAATTGAATAAAAAAATAAAATTTGTTTTTTGATGGTAACAAATTTATTTAAAATATTATAATTTCTTGATTGATGAGTTTCATAATGTTAAAGAAAGATAGCAAGAAAGTGATGGAAGAAAAGAAGGCAAGAGAAGATAAAGGAAAAATGAGGCAAGAAAGAAAAGGAAAAGGAAAGGAAAAAAAGAATGTGAGAGAACTAGAAGAGAGAAAAGAGAAAAAGAAAGAAGAAAATAAAAATAAAGAGAGAGAAAACAAAAAAGAAAAAAGGGATAGAAGATAAAAAGAAAAAAGAGTGAAAATAGAAAAAAAATAACTCGATATATCAGTCTCGATATAACGGATTTTCTCCAACATCTGTCATCGAGTTAGCTTATTCTCGTAAAATATAATGTCCATTTAGAAAAGATCAAATGAAAAACCTCGTTCAAAATAAATTTGAGTATTTTTCGTTCTTTCATATTATACTAATATATAATATTATTGTTGCAGTTATAGTGAAAATTTTTTCAATATAGCAAATAGATAATAAATTTCTCTATATTTTGGTGATGATAATTTTTTGTTAAATGCGAATTTCATCATATCGCATGCTCACTTGACTGTATAGGGAATTATACCTTCAATACCGTGAAAGAAATCTATATTGGTGATAAGTTAGTTAATAAACTTCATCAAGAAACAGAAATTCTCACTCAAGAAATAGCTGACTTAAAAGTAAAAACTTACTCTTCACAAAAAGAACTCGAAAAATATTAATAGTGTAGAAATAACAAAGACTTGAATTTGATTAGTCAACGAATTGCACAATATATAAATCGTTGTGAGAAAATAAAGAATGGATTGGAAATTCCCAATTTCCAAAAGAACCAATTTCGATGACAACAGAGAAACTGAAGTAAGCGATTTGTCAATCGTGGAAGGAAATGGAACCTAATAGATTTGGCGAATAATCCTTTTTTTTAATAATGTATTGAGAACACGAAAAGTTAGATTTGTTGATAACTGAGGGTCGTTTGATTCAATAGAAAATTTATTCTCTAAGAAATTTAAGAAACGCTCAGTATTGATTTCAGAAAGGGAAATTTTTACAACCAAGGAAAGGGGGTTTTCGAGTTGACTGAAGAATCTTTAGTTTTCGCTATAGAACCAGAAAAACAATAGTCATTTTGTTATATCGATATTATTTCGAATTCGACGAATCAAATTCTAATTTAACTGAATCATTACATTGTTTATCCAGCCAATCACAGCCTTGCTGATTCAACGCATTCACACCGCCAATAATTAGAAGGCACATCAATCTCTCACGCTTAGTTATTTCGATACCTTATATTTTCTAAGGCACAATCTTTTCCTTCTTCTCTTTTACCTTATATATACAATCTTTTTTAGTCCTTTATTTTAAAAGTTTGTTGAAAAATGGTATGTCTGCTATGTGAAATATTTTGACTTTTATGATTGCATATTTTGACTAATAAAGTTTTTACCTGTGTTTTGGAATAATGAAACTTTCGCTTGCAGGATGAAGAATATGATGTTATCGTGCTTGGTACTGGTTTAACAGAGTGTATTCTCTCGGGTTTGTTGTCTGTTGAAGGAAAGAAAGTCCTTCATATGGATAGGAACGATTACTATGGTGGTGAGTCTGCGAGTTTGAATTTGACACAGGTGAGAAAATTTTTGTTCTTGGAAAAAATTCTTTCTTTGTATTAAAAGAAACTAGATTGGTTGCCATTGTCGATTGTGTGATAATTTTGATGATGATAGTTTCAATTGTGAATATTATTTTAATTATAATTATTATTTTAGCTTTACCGTAAATTCCGGCCAAATCAGGAACCACCCAAAGAACTAGGTGCTGATCGAGATTTCAACATCGATCTAATTCCAAAGTTCATGATGGCCAACGGCGAGCTCGTCAACATTCTTACCCATACTGAGGTGACACGTTACCTCGAGTTCAAGCAGATATCTGGGTCGTTTGTTTATCGTGATGAGAAAATTTCCAAAGTCCCAGCCAGTGAAATGGAGGCAGTGAGAAGTCCGTTGATGGGGTTATTTGAAAAGCGAAGGGCAAAAAAATTCTTTGAGTACATGCAAAATTGGCGTGAGGATGATCCATCTACTCATAAAGGTACATACTTAATATTTATTTATGATGCATCAGATGTTTATATTCTTTAACACTTATAGTTATATTGTTTTAAATTAGGTTTTGACATTAATACCGGCACAATGGCAGAGCTTTACGAGAAATTCAGTCTTGAACCTGGTACCCAGGATTTTATTGGTCACGCAATGGCCTTGCACTTGGATGAGAGGTAGCTTCTTTGTAAAAAAAAATCATACACAAACCTTAACTTTTCTTGGCGAAACTATTTAATTTTTATTATTTCAGTTACCTCGAGAGATACGCACGTGAAAGCTATGAAAGAATTATATTATATTTTACATCTGTTGCACGATACGGCAAAAGTCCTTATATTTACCCATTATATGGTCTGGGAGAATTGCCACAAGGATTCGCACGGTATGCTATCTGTCAATTATGTTATTGATGTTATAAAAAAATCTTCAAAATTAATAAATATATATTGAATAAATAGTTTGAGTGCTATTTATGGTGGAACATACATGTTAGATAAAAAAGTAGACGAAATTGTCTATGATGCTAGTGGCCGTGTTATCGGTGTTCGTTCTGATGACGAGGTAATTATTTTTTCTTGATATTTGGAGTAAAAAAATTATAATAACGAAGAGATGAAATCTTTAAATTTAATTAGATTGCCAAAACCAAACAAGTAATTGGTGATCCATCCTACTTTCCCACCAAAGCGCGCAAAGTTGGAAAAGTCGTTCGTGCCATTTGTTTCCTAAAGAGTCCAATACCGAACACTGATGATGCTGATTCGGTTCAGTTGATTATTCCGCAGAATCAAGTTAATAGAAAACATGGTATAAAACAATTGTTTATGCATCACAATTTTTATGTTTAATTAATAATAATGCAATATTGATTATTTTTTTATGTATAGATATTTATATCGCCAGTGTTTCTTCGGCTCACTATGTCTGTGCTAAAGGTTTAGTACTTGCAATTGTCTCGACGATCGTTGAAACCGATAATCCCGAAAACGAAATTGAACCCGGATTAAAACTGTTGGGACCTATTGTCGACAAGTAATAGACCTTAATATTTATAATTCCCAGACATTTTATATATATATAAATAATAATTCACGATTCCCAATTTTATACTCTGCTCTATATAATAATAGATTTGTCGCAGTCTCTGACCTAGAAGAACCGATCGAGGATGGAACAAAAGACAATGTATTCATCTCGCGCTCCTATGATGCCACATCTCATTTTGGAACTGTGTGTGATGATGTCAAAGACATTTATCGTCGAGTCACCGGCAAAAATCTAGTTCTTAAACAGAGAGCTAAAACAGAAGACGAAAATACTTCATAATTTAATGTTATTTATCGTTGTTATTACTAATGTTGCTAATTGTGATATATGGTCGCGCTATTTAATTACTTTTTTAAAATTATTATTTATCAGTTTTGTGAAAAAAATGAGACTAAAATGTCTCAAAAATTTGTTGATTAAATCACGCGGGGTGAAAATTTCAACGTTGTTAAGTGACAACGATTAGATCATCTTATTTGATTCGCGTATATGCTGATGGTAGAACTCCTAGAAATTGAGTGCGCTTCAAATACGGAAACAATCAATCCGATGGTTTTCACTATTAACGGCTCCCTTGAAAAAAGCAATCAAGAAAATCAAGTTGAGTACTATAGATATTGGTCAATTCACACTTCAAAACGTGAAGAGAAATACTTGCATCCAGGACTACTAGTGTTCAAAACGATAACGAATCATCTTTCCAGATGGTACAGGTGCTTTGTCTCTGTACCTTTTGTTATATGTATTTACTTTTTGAATCCAAATTTATTAGCTTTCTAAAATTCATGTTCAGATAAACAATAAAATTTCCAATTTAATTGCAATTTTCCAGTTTTTAATATTCATGTTATTTTTATTATTAGTATTTTCAAAAAGAAAGCAATATAAACTTCTGAAATTTTGGCAACTAGTATTTTGGAATTCAAATAATCAAAGAAATCAATATAAACATGCAAATATATTAAATATTTTTATAGTCATTTATTTGTAAATGCATTTTTTTTTACTTGTCTAAATAGAAATTTTTTTGCAAATTATATAAATTATTATTAAATAAAATTGTGTTCTGTTTTTGTTATGTTTTATAAATTCCAAATATAAAATGTGTTCTTTATATAATTATAATTAAATAAATAATATAATATAATAATTAAAGCTTAAAAGCTAAATTATTAAAAATAAATAATAAAATGAGCTCAAAAATCTTCTTTATAAAATAAATACAATTATAACTTTGATAATAGTTTATAGATTAACAATTTCTTTTATTATTTTAATATAATTTTGCAATTAAAATTTTTCATAAGCTGGCTTGCAAGCCAAAATTTCTATTTATTATATTTTATATTAATTTATTTATTAATAAAAAAGCTTACAAGTCAAAATATTTATTTGTTATCTCTGTATTTGATTTGCAAATCAGTTTATAAAAAGCTTTATTTGCAATAATATTAAGTATATATAGCTTATTTGCATCAAATACTGTATTATTGTGATTAGATATTTTCATGATTAATAAATGATTATTATATATAATCATTCTAAATAATTATTTTAAATAATTTCTTTAAATGATCACTTCCAAGTAATTATTTGAAGTATTCTGAATAATCATTTTAAATAATCTCATTTCAAATAATCATTTTATAATTATCAAATATTTATAAATAGAGCATTGTTATAGTTACTTTAAATGAAGAGTTTCTTTACTTTTGATAAGAGAGTTATATGGGTTAAAAGAGAGAAATAGACTAATAAAATTGATCAGTGCAAAAATAAATATCTAAGCCTGTGCCAATTTTGACAAAAATTATTAAATAATCCTATTAAAAATAAAAAGAGAAGTTGGGAGAGTGTATTTAGAGAGATAATTAACTAATAAGAATTACTAACTAAAATTAAAGATATTGATATTTCTATACTTATAATCATATGTTTTAGTACTTTCAATACTAAAGAAAATAAATTACTAAAAGAAATATCACTTATTTAGAGTTGCAGTACATAACTATATAATATCACTTATTTAAAGATGTAGTATATAACTATACAAAAATAATGCTATAGCAAATCAAAATGTTTATTCAAAATACTTTAACCATCTTTTTCAAATTTAAAAACAAAAATATATCAAAAAAATTCTTAAAAGAAATCAATTAAAATATTACTAAATTATCAAATATTTGATTAATTGAAATTAGTAAAAAATCAAAAGTACCACTTGGAGAAATTAAAGATCTATCAGTAATAATGCAACAACAAGAATTTATTATTGATGCTTTAGTTTATGAACATGCTAAATATGATATTCTTCTTGAAAATAACTGGACTTATTAACATGAAGCTATTTTAGGTTGGTTTAGCAAAATATTATTATTTATAAATAATAATAGTAGACATAATATTACTATTACTTGTACCAGTCATTACTATTATGATCTGAATTTATTCAGATTATACGAAAATTAATGTTAAAGATTTTAAATTAGAAATTACATTGTAATTTATCTTAATTTTTTAAATTAATAATAATTATTAATTAAGAATCAATAAAATTATAATAACTAATAATTAATAAAAATAATATAATAAATAAATAAAGTAATTGATAATTTATAATATTCTTAAATATAAATAAAAAATAATTAAAAATAAATAAATATTTATTTATAAATAAAAATTAATTTAATATCACTTAAAATCTGATAATATTTCATATTATATAATCAAAAAAATAATAAATACAGTGGCTAACGTAATTATGGAATTACGTGTTCAAATTTATTAATAAAACATAGTAAAAATTGAAATTTTCTTTCTATATTAAAAGTTTTGATTTTCTTAAT